ACACAGATATAATTTCCAAAATTCGTCGTCTGTGGGAATTGAACCTTAGACCTGCCACTTGGGGGTTGACAACCTATTCACTTCACTAGGTCGCCACACCCCAAATTACTAAAATTATAAAATTCACTTATCCTAATTTTAATTATAGAAAAAAGTAAATTATTATAGTAGGAATAAAGGTTCTCTAAACAAATTACTGTGTTACATAAAACTTACTAGTAGGATAGAGAAATAAAAACAAAACCCTAGCAAATCAGATAGATGCTGCCAAACTTAATAAATTTAACATTTCATGTTGGCAGCACTTATATATATTTTGCTAAAGAAAACCTTCCTGATGAAAGACAAAACTTTTGAAAAGATACTTTAACTAAAAATTGAATTATATTAAGCATATGTTACATTTAGGATTTATAATTATAGAATACAAATTAGTAACTTTTTATTATCTTAAATTATGAGTTTATAAATAATAACAATACTTACTAAACTAGGAATAGCTTTAAATCCAAAATATAAGTAGTATAAAAATAATTAATAATTGAACAGTACATAGTAAAAAGATTTAGAGCCAATTTTTAATATGTAAATAAATATTAATATTTAATAATTTTGTATAAATTTGATCTGAGTGAAAAATTAAAAAAAAAAATTATCTAAAAATATATAAAATTATATAAATTATAATATGCATTTAGAAATATATTCTAATTAAAATCCCATCTTTGCTTTAAATGCTTCTATACATTTTTTTAAAAATAATTAAAAATTTATAATTAGTATATCTGCTATATTTAATTAATAAATCAACATTATAAAAGTAAGCAAGCATACTTAATATAATAACATTAATCACTAAGTTATATAAGGCATTTCATATAATTAGAAATAAAAATATTTAATTAGCTTGGTAAATTAAATCCTTGGAACCCAAATTTTCAAGTTTAAGCATACTACAGATTAAATTAGATAAATTTTATTTTTTTATAAAAGGTAAATTTATATAAATTAATACTTACTAGGTCAATACAAATAAAAATAAAATTCTATCAATATACTTATCACATTAGAACAAGCAATGGCAGTAGAATAATGTAAAGGTTAATGATACTTTTATACAGTAATTTAAGAGAATAATAAGCTTATTAAGCTATAAATATATATGTAAGATGCCTCATATATAAATAAAGATTATTTAGAATTGTTTATTGCAATTTGTATATTGTTACAGTTTTTTTTTTTTTGTAGTTAATATTCTAAAAATATAAGAATAAAAAATTGTTTAATTCGATTTTAATAATATGACAAAATATAGAAATATTACAAAGAAACTAATATATGTACTTTTATCATTTATATACTGGGCTTGGCATATGCCACTTGTACAATTGCAACTTTCCTAATACAAATTAAATCAGCTGCTTAAGGGCACCCTAAAGGGACTGTCAGCAACAAGTAGTATACTTCTAGTTACAGTACTTTACTTTCAAAAAATTTTTTTCATTCCTAATTACATTTAAAGGCAACAACTTTATAGCAAAGAAAGGCTTATTTTGTTTGTATAAATATTATATACAGTAAATAAAAACTATCATATTAAAAAATGACATACAATAAAGTACTAACTGCTTTAATAATAAATTAAATAAGACACTGTGCAATCATATCAGTTTCTTAGTAAAATAGTATACTTGAACAACTCTATCATTAGTATCTAGTTTAATTTCATCTTGTGATATTTTCTAAATAGGCAATAAGTTCTTTTTCAATAATAATAATAATAATAATAAATATAAAAAGTTACAAGATGAATGAAAAGACAAACCTTTATATATAATGTTGTTCTATGCTCTTGTATTTATCTATTTAGTTATTTATATCATATTCTTTTTGAATCTTGCAATGCTATAATCTAATTCTATTAGTAGGTACTTGAGTACTGTTACCTTTAGTTTGTTTTATTACTTCATTTTTCTAATATATATATATTATAGTTTTTTTTTTTTCTCAAGATCAGGTTTTATTTTTCATTCAATAACAAACCTTAGAATTTTACCTAACAACTATAATACAAGTGTTTACCAAATATTATATATAATAAATAAAAATAACTTGAGATGTTTAATTAGTAGACTTTACAACCTTTAACTTCTGTTTCAATAGAATAAATAGAGGGTTAATTAACAGTAACTATAATACTTAAATTAATCCTTATACTTACTTAAATTAAAGCAAAAAAATAATTTTGATGATTTTAATCTTTTATGAACTTGGAATGCAGTTTTAAAATAAGCTAACAAATTGATATAAATTAGTACAAATACTTAAGTAATTGCAGTTTTCAAATAAACTAATGAAATAGTCTAAAAGGCTACTAAAATTAACATGAAATAGGTTCCTACAAACTATAACTGCTGCTTTCAAAAAAGCCAAAAATGTAAGATATTTAACAATAATCATTGCAGTTTCAAAAAATATTAATAACTTACCAAAATCAACATGAAAGTATAATTTATAACACATTATTCTGAATTAGCTTGATTTTCAGTTTTAAATAGGATAACAAAAAGGTAACACTAATGATTACAATTTAATTTTTTAATTTAACTTAGTTTTTTTTTCCTTTAGAATTACATATATTATGCAGACCTTTGTTTGAGACTTCATTTTTGAATTTAAATTAATTATTATATATTTAGTAATTTCATTGATAAGACTGCTTATAAGAGAGGATTTCTGGTAATACTATAAATACTATAGGCATTTTCTAATAATAATAAGTTTTGGAATTGTAATTCAAATATCTATCAATAAAAATTACAAAATTTTAATTATAATAAAAATAAAACTATAAAAATTTAAAAAATAGATGTAAATATATCTTGAAACCAATATTAAAACTTTATGCTCTAAATTCATAAATATAGCACTATTATATTCTATATAAACTGAAATTAGATTCAATATTTAAATATTGAATCTGAAATTGAAATCAGACAAGAGCTTAAATTATATTGAATTCAAATATAATATTAAATTATTCATAATATATATTCTATATAATAATTAAAAAAAGAATTAAGCAAGTTATCAAAGACATGTCAAAGCTGTTATTTATTTATTTATTATTATTATTCTATAACAGATTTTCAATAAGGAATAAATGTCTTATATTCATTCTTTTCAATTTAAACTTATTTAATAGTTGTTATTATTATGTTCTAGCTATATAATCTCAATTTAATTGCTCTCTATTTGGGCACATTTAGGCATTATAGTCTTGTTGAATGCAGACATTACATTGTTTTTGCATATTTCTATGACTTTGGTAAATTTGCTACATAGATAATGAAACTAATACTATAACATCATATAATCCTATCAAAATGTGAACTATTTGCATTAGCAAGAATATATTAGAATAATTTATTATATTTATTATTTTAACTAAACCAATACCTGGTTTTACTGTATCTGATTCTTTTTGTATATGTTCATAACTTGTCAAAACTTCTTCATTATTGCTATCCTCAGAACCTATATAAATAAACATTATTAGTAATAAGTATAGATATATTAAATATAGATCAATTTCTAACTTGTTGTTTAACTTATATTAACTATACAAATCACAAATAAGTAACAAGTTAAAAGCATGTTTTGATTAATATTAATATTGAAATCTAATAATTTACCTTTTAGTTTCATCACTCTCATCAATATCCAAAGGCTTTTTTTTTTTACAAGTTTTACTATTATGACCTTTTTGCTTATATACCTTACACTTATATTAAGTTTTAGTATTAAAATTTTCTATAACACTTTTAATTCTTTTTGAATCAGATTTTTTATGATGATCTTTTGGTCTTCATTTAATAGAATTTTAAATTATTTTACTATAATTCTCACAGTTAAGATTATCATTCATATTATTATTATTAATCATTCTTTTTTAGATTAACAAAAAAAACTAAAAAACTTATTATAAATATTATTATTATTATCCTCAATTGCATTAACTATTATCTTTCTTTCCAATCCCTAAAGTTCACCAAATTTACATTTTTTTGAAATAGTTTTGAATATTTCATTAAGCAATTGTTTTGAAACAACCTTGTTTGTAAATTCTTCAGTTTAATTAATATTAAGCTCAGGTAAATGTAAAAATCACATTGCCAAGAAACACATATTTGATGTTAGTGTTAATGCACCTAAAAAACAACTACAAATTCATTATTTGATATATCAGTTCCTTGTAATCTGTTCTTATACTAGCACCTATTCACCAGCCCAATATAAAATCTTGCAGTTGAAGTTAAGATTATTATATGATAAAAATAATAATATAGATAGCTGTAAGATTTGCTTATCATACATGTATAAAGAAAAGTACCATTGTTTAAAAAATATAAAAAATAGGAGGTGCCAGGATTTGCTAAGTATAAGACTTCTCATACTTCAAGAATTGTTGAAGAATTATTTGTAAACAAGCTTAGTTGTACTTGCAGACAGTCAAATAAGTTATCAATACACTAATTCAGTTCATCAATCTTCTAAAAAAAATATCAAATAAATAATTTCTTATCAAATTAAAATAATACCAATTTAATTTTTAGTTTACATAATATTTAATTAATAAGATAAAGAAAAACAGAAAAATAATACATAATAATATCACATAATAGAAAATACTTTAATTTTGTTAGTTAAATTAATATGTATTAGGTTTATATAAATTTTAAAAAATAAAAAAGAAGAAAATAATACTATAGTTAATTTAATGTCTATTGGTTTATATAAATTTTGAAAATAGAGAAAAGTAAGATTATTTAAACACAGAATTAAATTGGTTTGGCTTAAGCAGAAATAATATTACAAAAAACTTACTTTCTTTTTAAATAATATAACTTCAAAATTAATTTCTATAGCATAATAGTGAAGACTTAAATTTATTTGCTTCACCTGTTTCTTTATTATATTAGACATCATGAATTTATTAAGCTGTCTTGCAACAGGTTTAAAAATAGTGTTTACTACATTTTGTAGTTCTATTTGTGATATGACTTGCTTTCAGTTTACAAATTCGCAGTAGTTATTCTCTTTCTAGTACCTTTCTTCTAAAGTGTTAAATAATTTGCATAATGAAAGATTTGAAATACCAAAAAGGCATTTTAAAGTTGAGTTTTTACTTTTATTATAAGAAGTTGATTGTATATCAGTAATAAAATGCTTATTGGTAAATGCATATGCTCAAGATTAAGTATTAGATCTTAATGATCTTGTCAAATAATCCTTTGCTTGTAAATAACTTTTTAATAACTTTTTTCATCTTTAATAAATAAAATTATTAACTACTTTTAATACAAATTTTTATAATTTATTATTAACTTTAAATAACTAATACAAAATCTTCATAATATAATAAATTATTCATTCATCTTTCAAAAAACTTTTCTTTGGTTATACTGTTTCTCATTATATAAAAATCTTTCATAAAATTAGTAAAATTTGAACCTAATGTTCCTTTTAGATTTTTTGATAAGTTTTGACTTATGTGCCAAATATAGTGCATGTGGAAGAGAATTGCTATAGGAATTTGATGATTTGTAGGTTGTGTGTTTAGTTTATAAAAAATAAAATCTTTAATTCTTTTAATATTATTTAGTATTATAATAGTTATATTAATTGGTTATAAGTTGTAATTAAACAGATTTTTAATATTGTTGTTTAATTCTTGTATTACATATTTTGATCAGCTTTGTATAACTTTATAAACCTTTTGTTTATCTGTTGTTATCTCATTTATATTTGTATATTGTTTTAATGCTTGACTATAAATAAGTTGTTATAATATGTGGCAACCTAGTGAAGTAGCCAGATTGTTAATCTCCAAGTAGCAGATCTAGAATTCAAATTCTAGTAATAATAAAAATTTGCAATTCTTTCTGTATTATAGTTAACTGTCTTCTGTGATTGGTTAGGATTAGATATCTATAATCTGTATCATACTAGCATAACTGCAAAATTTAAACATTTATACAATATTGTATAAAGAACCACAAACTAGTACTAGGTAGTATAAATTCATAATAAGTCCTTAGCCTATATAAATCACAGAAACCAAATAAAAAGACTGAAACCTATTTGGAATATCTAAGTAAAAAGGTAGTTCAACCTTTTGATAATGTTACTGTAAAGACTAGATCTATAAATGGAGCTAAAATTTATAAAGCCAGACAAATATGCTGGTTTTTAGAAAAAAACCAAATGAACCAACTAGGCTATTAGAATTTTTGAATTTTAGAAAAAAAGGTTACATGCTAGAAAATATATAAACCAGAGATGTATAATTATAATTTATCTTTCTAAGATATTTGAATTGACAGCTTGGTAGAACTTAAATTGAATACCAAAGTAATAGAGATATGTTGTGAAATTAGTATCAGAATTGGGGTAAATTTTACAAGAACATAGCAGTTTAATGGTATGTACTAACTGCAAATGTTGGTCTTAGTCATAGTAATATTAAATCAGCTGTAAGAATAGAATACAGAAAATTTTGAAAGGTTTAGTACAAGGTTAAAGGTTTTTTATATGAGTAAACTGTTTTAAAGACTTAGTAGTTATAGTATATTTTTACTAGCATTAGCCAGATTTATTAGTAAGCAGAGATAAATGAATAGATATAAGAACAAAAGTGTTTAAATAAGAAATCTACAAACAGGTTTCAGGTATAGCAGCTAGTGTAGAATCTTTAGGCAAACTATTTAAATTAGATAATAACTAAAATTATATAAGTGACTAATTGTACACTCTTTTCATAATTGCTTTCTGTAGTTGTAATACAACTATTAGCCAAATAGACTATTAATAAAATCCTGGTTGCAAATACTCATTTTAATATTTAAAAAAAAAAAAAAATTAAATAAGTTGTTGTTAGTTGTATATTATTTAATTTGCTGTTGTGTTTGTGTTGTTTATTAATTTAGATTGATTATTATTATAACTTGTATTCAGTTTGTTGTACTTTCAAAGTTCTTATTTTGAGTTTTTTGTTACATGTTTATATCAGTTGTTTGCATTATATTATATTGTAATTTTCTTTTTAGAATATTTGTTGTATTGTAATTGCCTATTACTGTTATATTTGTATTGTTATTGCTATTTATAGTAATTGTTTATATTAAAGTTTGCATATAATATTGTGTTGTTGTTTGGCAAAAGTATACCAGATTGTTTACTTTTTTGTATATTTTAATGTTGTGTAAAAGTCTTAGAAGAGTTATAGTAACATTTCTTTTGTTAAATATTTGTTGTTTGTTTAGAATCTGTTTTACTATTTTGTTTATTTATAATATATATATTTGAGTTAAAGCTAAAAGTATATATTGAAATATAATTATTTATTTGTTATTTATTTGGTTGTTATAATGAAACTAGATTCTTAAAGAACTGGTTTGTTGTTTTTTTGGTTTTTTTGTAGTAGCTATTTGTTATTATAATATTAGATATTTTTGTATCTATTGGCTTTTTGTTTTTGTTAGCTACTCTAAATTCTTCTTTCAAAATAGTTATTTCTTTTACTTTTTACTTTTAACTTTTTTCTGATTTTGCAATTTTGAATAATTAGCAGAAAAATACTATCTAGTTTTTTTAATATTGTATATAATTGCTTAAAAATTTAATTCTAATTTTCAATTATATAAATTTATTTGCAAAAATATATCTACTATATATTTATATCTGTTATATCTTGGGCATTATATATATAAACAAAAATTTCATTTTTGCTTATACCCAACTGCTCAGAATATAACTTTTACAAAGTTACAAAAATATAAATATTAATGTTCAATAACTAATAACTAAATAAAAATATTCAAAAAAGCTAATATTATATATATAGCTATTGCTTATGATTTATTAAATTTTCTAAATAAATCTTAAATTAAGCAATTTTATATTCATAAGTTAATTTAATTAACTATAATAATAATTATTTAATTATAAATAAAAATTTTAAAAAATATATAAGCTATGCATTATATATAAAAATAAACTCAATTAGTTTTTTTTTTTTTAATTTTTTAAAGGTTTATTTGATTATTAAAATATAAAAAAAAATTTTATTAAAGATTTCAAATTTTGGCCTAGTCTAGTTATAAAAACAAACTAATTAATAACATATAATTTAATAATAAATATATAAGAAACCTTTAAAACAATTATTTTATCTTTGTCTATTAAGCTTTTTAATCTAAAATTAAATAATAAAACTAAAAAATAAGCTAATAAATATTGTATCTAAATAAATTAATATATTTTATTTATAAATAAAACTTATAATAAATTCTTAAAAACTTATTTATCTTGAATACAATTCTTTGTTTTATGATTTGGTTTAGCAAAACATAAATACCAAAAAGTTTTTTTTGCATTATACGATTTAATATTTTTTTCATTATCACTTAAATCTTATAAACTAAATAGTTGATTAACTAAAAATTTTAACAATAAAATAATTTCTAACTAACTTGTTCAGATTTAATTTTA